ATGATTAGAAAAGTATTTGAATTATAAAGATACAACATCCATTATATAATAAATTCTAAATGGAAAAGATTAAGCATAATTTATTGCTGAATTAACGTAACATCGAGTATATGTAAATTAGTTCACTTTTAACGGTATATTGTCAACCAGTATGTCCACTCCTCGAACGATTTCACGCACGACATTTATCACGGTTGTCTTTGCTGTACGTTTCGCCCTAATTAAGCCGACATTTAAAAAATTCGCTTTATTACGCGTCGCTTTCGAATCGCATCCGACTTGCACTCGAACTTTAGCCTTTCGACACGCAAAAATGATGGTTGGTCGCGGTCGTAATTATATTAAAGCTACCGCGATGCAGTGGTGCCCACACTGCGTAGATCATATTTCTTGTCAGCTCCTGCCTTTCCTCGTACGCGCACTCGGTGTGGCGCTCGCGAGGAGTGAGACGTTCAGAGCCGCGAGTGCATTAATCTCCGACGACGGTTGCGTTAATATAATCGTTTAATAAGTCCGGTTTATTAATTGTGTCCGTTCTCATTGGCATTAATTCACCCTTTCGCCGCGAATCCCTTGCGAACCGAAAATCCGGCACGCGAAAAGATGTAAGCGAACGAAGAAAGAAGAGAAAAAGAAGAGAAAGAAGCGCATCCCGGACGGCCCAGGCTTCCTCGCGTGTGCACTTAAACTCGGCGCATCGCCGTAGCGCGTCGGAGCATCAAAGGTCCGATGACCAAAGGATGTGCGTGATTCGAGGAAGAACGAAACAGGTTCATTGCGCAGAAATTATTTCTACGCGACCAAGAAGAAGCGCATCTCTGCAGCAGTTATAGACGTTAGAATATTTCACAATCTGACATTTCAATAGCATTTTTGTTGTCCAAAAAAAAGAAAAATAAATACATAAACTGAGAGATAAATTATATTAGAATAAGTAAGTAAATGTGTATACATTTGCAGTAAGTATCGTGTATGTACAGAAAATATATGACACGTGATAAAAACGTGAATTAAACCATTTGTACCAATTAAGCTGAGAGTTTGCTCTCTGAAAGCGATGCTCTCATTAAGTTATACCATTACAGAAGTGCTCACATCCGACAAGTACGAAAAATTATGCCGTTTAATGAGTGACTGTGGGTAATATTCACTTTCTAAAGCGTAAACGGCGCGACGGCGTAAGCAGCGAGATTATATCTTTGCTTGGCAGTAATTAAAACCTGGTTGCTACACAGTTCGCGCTGATAGATGCGCGAACAGGACAAATTACGATAATAAAATTGTCAACGCGTTTCAGCTCTCTCCGTTCCGAGAATACTAATTATTTATTACGCGCGCAATGCAATTCATGCGCGATCGTACTGCGCTGCGAGCGAGAATTCGATGATTGCTTGATCGAATAATTTGTATATTGCGCCACGGGGGAAACGCTAATGTGACGTGCGCCCGGTCGGCCGATAATTAATCCAAAATGGCGATCTGCGGCAAAAACGCGCTTGCGATGGATAATGAACCGCGTCGGGCGCCGCCGGTCAAGTATGCAAAGCGAATAACACGGTCGACTTATGGGCGACTGTCGATTGCGGAAGGCAGAAAGGTGCCCGGTCGACCAATCGTAAACGTCGCGGCTACAATGCGTCGACGAACACGTCGATTGGCCGATCCAATATCGCGGTGTCGCGAGGGCCGTGTCTTTCCACGTGCAAACACTACCGTCGTTTAATGAACGTCCTCCGGGTATACTTCGAAGCGCAATCGAGTCACGTCCTCGAACCTCGTGACACTTATAAGATCGTTGTCGCAGCCTTAGGTCTTTTGATCTTTGCAGGTAGCAATTAACCCTTTCACAATTGCTTAAAAAAATATACAATTTCTACACAGGATGTATTGAAAACGTTTCTCAATCCTAGCTTTAATGAGAAACATATAAAGTGGTCAATATTTTAACATTAATATTTTACAAGTTATAAATTTAAAAAGAAATAAAGATCAAGGAAGTTAAGTAACATGATTGGGACCCCGTAGACCACCATATGTACTTGTAACGAACTTGTGATAAAATAACTGAAATGTAATTGAGAAACGGCGCATTTTCTCGGCGAAGATTTTCTAAAATATATTCTGCAATAGCACATTGCGATCGTGAAAGGTGCAAAACCTGTGACGATTGTCGGGTCCTGATCTTCTTGCGAGCGGTGTGCTCCGCTAACAACGCCCTAACGACTTTCCGTGCAACAAGAAGCAGACCGCGCCGAGTAAAATCGCGAGCGTGCGCGTACGCGCTCCGGGAAGCCCCGGCATTGTTTTAAAAGAAGAGAGTCCGCTGCGAAGTCACGGTGATTAGACGCCGCGAGGTGTGGAGGATCGGGATCGATGGATTCCTGGAAAGAGCGAGCGTAGGTGTAAAAATGCCGCGGTGGGCAATCGTCACGCTCGGTTTACCGCATTCTGTCCGGCCGGACATCCCGCGGCGAGGGGGTGATGGCTCCCACACACACACGCGCGCGCACTCTCGTACAAACGCAGGAGCGTGGAATCTCTGCGGTTCTGTCGGCATCAGGAGCGTGTGGCGTGAGGAACCGTGCCCGAGCCGCCTCGCTCGTCGTTCTCCCGCGGCGTCAGGAGCAACGCGCTCGTCGTGGGAGCGGCAAATTCCGCGCGCAATTATCGTGACGCGCGACATTTGTTAAGGTCCCGCCGCCCGGTCGGAGTCCCGGGCGATGGGGCGGATAAAAGTCCCGGCACAAAGCCCGATTTCGTCTCGAATGAACGTTACGGAGTTGCGTTCCTAGAGTTGCCCGAGAATCGGCTTTTTGCCGATGTCCTCCCGACACGAAGAATCGATGAAGCAATATCTCGCGACATCGGCTCGGATAATGCGCCACGGTGGTTTTGTCGGCTGGAATGCGGCGAGCGGTATCGAGCCGCGCCGGCACCGAGGCAGGTATCGAATGCGATATAATTACGGTAAGACTTTAATTTAGAGGGGCAGCCGATGCAGACTCAATCCGGATACGACGCAACTGCGCAGTAAAATCATCGTTTTACCGCCGCTATTAATATGTCGCAGATTATGTTCGCACGGCACGTCGATTGAATTTAATTACGGAAACGCAACGGGTCTCTCGCGCGGCTTAATGCGCGCGTTGCGAGGAAGAAATACTGCGGATAGAAAGCGAGGAGGCCTACTAACCGGCGTCGTCGACGTCGCCGGGAATAATAAAACGGCCGAACGAATGTCGAACGGAGTGCCCCGACTCGTGCCCCCCCCCCCCCGCTCTCAATGCGACATTGATAAATAATTATTGGTGTATAGACGTGGGCATTTACAAGCAGGTGCGCAGGTTCGAAGGAGAGGCGGCACTCCGCGTCACCTGGTGCTGATTAACGAACGAATCGCCGGCGCGAGCGAACGCGCGCGTAGCGGCTTAAGCGGCCGGCTAAATTGCCACGTTATTCTTGTAAACCGCGGCATCCCCGCGACTGTCCAATTACTGGACGAGGTGGCAAGTCGTTTCGTCCGAGCAAACACGCGTTCCACGCGCACGGCGGCTTGGAATCGCGTCTTTTTTTTTTGTTTGTCTTGTCTCTCGACACCGACGACGGCACCGTTAAGGACGGATAATGAGACGATCGGCGCGCGAGTCGAGAAAGGGAGAAACTTTCTGCGAGAGAGCGCGTGTTGTCCGCGTATTACCGCAAGCGGTATTTACACGCGGGTAGCATAATTTTCTATACAAAACCTGTGAACCGACGAGGTGACCCCGAACCTTTATCAGATTTATGCAGTGTTGCACGTTGCGCACCGTCGCGATTCCGAGATACACGGGGTTGCGCATCCCGAAGCGCATTTGCATTCAACGAGAGAGAGAGAAAGAGAGAGAGACGACTGCGAGGCACGACTCTTATCTTGAGCGACGAACATTTTGTTTCATTAATATTACTTATATTACATTCATCACGATGATAAATTCTCGTAGTAAAGGATTGGCGAGTGGCATTAATCGACGTCGCGTGCGAACGATCGATCGACGCATCCCTGATCGCCAATCAAGTCGTATATTTTTTCTGCAGTCTTAATTATCGCGTGCGATCGTCTTGTGCTGATTATTATGAAAATGAATGTATTAAAGCGACTTCAATGGGAGCGGTGCATCCCGATTACGCGACACGTTATTTACTCGACTGCCTATACTTATGCATTACCTGCAATGTACACGCGGCGACGAAGTAAATTATACGAGGATACTGCATAAAAAAGGATACTGCGCGGCACCTGAGGAATACAGAATGAGCGATGAAGAACAAGAAACGAGGCTATTCAATGATCACCATTGACAATCGCGTAACTTATCATGCACGTCTTCTTATCTCCTGCTATTGATGCCGATATATTCTTGTAATTTATTGATCGAATCGTGAAAATGCGTATAAATCTACTTCGAGCCTTTTCGAGTTGCTGATAATATTTTTTTTGTTTTTATAATTATACCTTTATATATTAATATATTTTGTAGTTATTAACATCTGTGCGTTGTATATAAATCAATATAGTAAATATTCAGAATTTTATATCAATAAAATTTAAAAATGGAAAGGAATAAAAATTAAAAACATACTTCGCAATCCGGATTTAAAATTGTGATTTAACAAACGAAGTAGTTACGATTCAAATAATTTTGATCTTGCCACCTGGTATGGTCTGTTGATCTTCATTTTTCCAACAACGCGAATTTAGATTTCGCTGCTTTCTTAGCAACGCGTATCTAACAAAACACGCACCGATAACAACAGCTCAGTTATCTCCGGACACGCCATCGACGAACAACACGTTTCAATCTCTCCGTTAAAATCCTATTCGGCTCACCGATACGACCGATTTTGATCGGTTATTAAATCTTCTCAGTGATTGCTTAAGCACGCCGACTTAAATGCGCGGTTTTCAAGTGTACGGATCCACCGAGTCCAAGTTATTTTAGCATCGTCGCACATTTCGGGAAGTCGCGAAGGAACCATCGCGAATTATTCGGATTGCACCAGATTGATAAGCGGATTGGGCGAAATTTCCTCGACTTCTCCGATTTCTTCCGAGATCCTCGCATCTCAACTGACCCCCTAAATCCTGGCGATCGAGGACTGCCCATGAGACGACATACAAGGACATCACTTCGGGAAATCTTTGAAGGACATAGAAGACAAGAGAGGCTGCAATATGACGAGACCGAAGATGTCGGCCCTCGTGGCCTCCGCTATTCGCAATCTGCGGGAAATCCGCGGTTCCACGTCGAAGGAAATCATGAGTTACATTAAATCCCAATACAGTAACGGGTCGGACTCGACTATACAGAAACAGGTATGTGATTTTTCTGAATATATTTTAGATGAATAAAATTCTCTCGCAAAGCTTATGACGTTATGCGCCTTATTTTTCTCCTCTCAATATTAATTTCCTATTAATTATAAAATCAATACAATATTAATAAATTAATGATTAATTAATAATTAATATTTCAAAAAAAATAAATTTGTTTTTCAATTTTATCAAATTTCTAAAAATGCATTCATTAAAATTTTTTTATGAAATGTGCTGTTTAATAAAAAATTGTGTTAAAAATTTTAGGTTAATAAATGCAATAAAGTCATACAAGGAATGTTTCCTCTTAGATATACACTGCCTTAAAACGCGGCTTGGACTACGGTATCCTGAAGAGGGACCGCGGTTATTACAGCCTGAATACGGATCCTGACATGCTGTACAAAGCGCACACCGTGGCTCCTTTGGAGCAAGGCAGGAGACGAAGGAGGCGAAGGAGGCGACGACGTGGCCGTGGAGTATCGGGAAGGCGAGGTCGCGGTAGGAGAGCTGGGAGGGGCAGGGGAAGGGGCAGAGGAAGAGGAAGAGGAAGAGGAAGAGGAAGGAGGAGGAGGAGGAGGAGGAGAGGGAGCAGAGGAAGGAGCACAGGGAGAGGTTCGCCACCTAGAACGCCTAGAACGAGGTCTCTTGCAACAACCAAATGCAGGATATGTTCGTCGAAGAAGCGCACGGAGGACACCTTAAAGAAGATCCCGATGGAAAGCCTTCAGAAGAACATGACTTATTTGTATAATAAGGACACCAACAATCAGCCGCTGTCCAGACACCAGAGTCGCAGCCGGGATCGAAGTCCGACGCACAGTCAATCGACTAACAGCGACAAGGAGATGATTGACGACCGAGATCAATCGTGAATCGTCTGAGTGCGAAATAACACTCCAAGTTTTAATCCTTTGCAGTTGTTTATCGTCGACGTAAAGCGTTGAAATATTATTTTCTATAAAATTGCAAAAATTTATTTTTTTAAGGGATAACAAGGTATGGCAAGATTCACGCGAAACTTTGGCTTAAAATCGAAAATAAATTAAAAAATTTATTTTAATTTAGACTGCAAAGGGTTAATTCTTCGACGCGATAGTTGCCAACCAGTGACGCGGGGATAACTCTTACGAATCTACATTTTGTCTTATATTGGCGGTAAATTGCAGTGGCGGTCCGAAATGTACGTCGACAGCGAATCTTGTTTTGTAGTCTTTGACTTTTTGCAAATTTTATATGTTCCCTTTACACTTGCTAATTATACACTTTTGTACCACCAATTATTGTTATTTTTTACTTCAGTTAACTCAATTCTCTCCTTTCATTCTCTTGCTTATTTCAACAAATCTAGCCGATATATTCTATGGCGTCGAAGAAAAATAGCAAAATTCCTTCGAGAAGCAAAATCTTACTCACGAATTCTCGATGCATTGATATAACTTTCAAGTGTGAACGTGGTTTGGAGTCCTGATGGAGATAGTCCAAACAAAATTTACTGCTATAACTCTTCTGCTGCGGCGAGGTCAAAGTAGGTTAGAAAAGATCGAAAAGTGATTAGTGGCATTTACCGGTCCCCGGCGAGAAAACGAGAAAAGGAGCGAGAGAGGAGGAGAGAGAAAGATAACTGCCGATTCCCGGTACCGTTCGAACATCCAGCAGATCCAGCGACACAATGCTGCGATTTAACTGCTCCCTATTCTCCGACAGGACTCTATCCCGGAGGTCGAGACGACACCACTACCGGAGATCTATCAAGCGATATTAATGCGATTCTAACGGTTACTCTTTCTATCCTTAAGACTCTTTCTATAGCCGAAGAACCGTTCGCCGTTCTTCCGTTTGAGAACGAAACTCTCTGGTGGTCCATTCGGAGTTTTAACTTTCATATAAAAAAGCGTATCATTAAATCTAACATGCTATTTAAAGATGCTATCTGAGCAATAATATTGAATAAAAACGGAAGTCGGAATAATTCCGATCAAATACAAATCTTTTCTTACCAAATTGACAGAATTTTGTAATCTATTTTAAGATGTGACATTTTATGCAAAAATTTTGTTTTTTACAATTGACACAAAATAGAAATTCATTGACAAGTTAAGCGATAAAATCGAAAATTAAAGTGATGAGAAGTACATTTTTCCGATGATCTTACTTCGCTGAAAGCTGACGAATATAACGCGGAGAATGAAAGCTACTCGCGGCCGTTGGCAGACATAACCATTGTCACGAACGGCGTTTCATGTTGCTGCGTGATCCACCTAAATGACGAGGGACGGACAGGAAGAAGTCCGGAGAGAAAACCTCGGCGATACCATCTTTTCTCCGCGCGATCGCTCGTACGCGAAACCTCGGATAGCGAGGTGTCAGCGGGTTCTCACGTGAACCAACCGGCACGAGATAACGTCACCCTGGCATTACGCGTGATATCATTAAGGTGGATTTATGTTACCACTTGTGGCAGTGTCGACTCTCTGTAGCTAGATTAGGAGGTAGGCCAGAGGCTACGCCCGCGGATATACTTCTAACTTACATGTGCAAGAAGTGTGTCCATACCTACACGCAACGTCGCGCTTTGCGAGCACTTAGCGCTCGATTAGCTAAAAAAAGATACAATCAAATCCAGCAAGTAATATTATCCTGGAAATCGGAAGTAATTTAGCGTTTTTGTGACGTCAAGCTTTGCTCCACATTTTTGTCGAGTTACTTTTACTTTAGAAAATAGAACAGCTAAGTTTTATTTTAAATTCGTGAAATCTGTTTGTAATTTTTTACTAAAATATTTACTAAAAATTAAAGTACCGAAAAATAATCCAGTTTCTTACTATTAATAAAACATTTTTAAAAGAGTTATATAATATATCAGCCATTACACAATTAGTTTGATCATTAACCTAATTAATTAAATAAATTTACATTTTGATCGATCGTTTGGAGTCATTCGCATTTCAGAGATAGCGTTTTACACGCTTGCTCGCATAAAGAAGAAAAAAGATCTGACAGTGCAAAATAAGAAGCGGAGAGGAAAGGAACAAATGTGCTCGGAATCATCGCTCTAGTTCGTGTGGATCCGTGCAACTCGACTCACGCTCCAGGAATTTAATTGCTTCGCCACCTTCACGGCTAATATACCCGAGCCACACGAGAGAGATTTTAATTCGTGCGATCCGCGCTGTAGATAACCAACCGTAAACTACCGGGTATTCGAATTAGACTATGCCGACGATACGAAAACAGCAGGTGGCGATCTCAGCATCCGATTATACTCCGAAGTGTTATTAACGACCGATCGCAATACGGCTTCTGTACTTAACTAGCGGCCAGGTATGCCGCATCATCTTACTAGTTCTGATCGACTGTCTTACATTATGCGTGACGGTACTTCCTTTATGTGATATACGTCTACGCATCTAATCAATTTCGATACCCGTTTCTCATCTTCCTCAAGGACTTCGACTCCTTCAACTCGAGGATACTTAAAAATTCCTTAAAATCGACGCGAAGGTCACTCAACTTTTAATACTGCAGAAATATAAGTACACTTGACATGAATTATCGTGTTTTTGAAAAAATGTACAGATCAATATAGAGATATTGAGAATCTAAATCTACAAAGTTACTGAAATTGGATCGATCTCAGTCTCCGTTTAAAGATAACAAATTTCATCGTGCAGCACAGTGATAAAGAAGGGCCGAAAGTAATAGGTTTATTACGACAGTAATCGGGATGTCAGTTGATCAACGATGTAACTGCGAATTACGCCGCTACCACCGCTCCTCCCTGACGTGTAGCGGAAGATTTAGCGCGTGTTCTCTGCCCCGATCTTTTTTTCGCCGACATTTCGCCTCGCTCGACCGGCGTTCATTACCGCGCGGCCGCTTTAGAGCAACGCCGTATAGTCGCTTAACTGTTTTGTCCCGGCTGATGGATAGCGCGTTCGCACGTTATTACCGGACACTCGGCCAGTTTTATGAGCCTAGATTGGTACACGGTTCTCTTACCCCCGGTGTGGACCCGTGCAACAGCGGCGCTAATAGTGTGTTTACCGATAATGGGTGGTACGATGGTCGCGTGAGGAAAATATCGGATGCATAAGTCCAGCGTAATTTACGAGTGCCTTTTACCGGCCGGGCGTCGCTCGCGGATCCGCGAATCCGGCCGGAAGTTGTAGGAGCGGCTGGCAAACCGGTCCGCGTTTCGATCAAGGATGAAAATCTAAAGTGCGTGAAAGCGAACGACGATGACGTGTAACCGCGGGAATGGAACGCAACAGCTCTTATTCCAGTTTGGCACCTCGGTCGTCATTAGCGCGAGATTATCGCCTGCTCTTACGTCGTATAATTATCCATTGTGAAATTCGCTCCTCGTCCATCATGTCGCGCCTTCCGATAGAAGAAAGTGGCCAAGCGGCAATTTTCGAGTTAAACGTGTCGCGAGTGTCTCTAGTGATTTATATTTCGACGCTGGAAACGCGAATCCGGATGTAGTGTCATTGCTGCGGGCTAGAAAGCGATGGTGTTTTACTTTTCAACCGAATCATTTGCGTAATTCGAAACATTCTTTCTTTCTTCTTCATTGCAATATCTGCACTTGAACACTCAAAAAAATATTTCGCTGATGTAGTTAGATTTCTAGATATCGCAACAAGAATGTATCGCTATTTTCGTATCTGTGAAAACATTGTTTGTCACATATAGAATTTATAGCAGTAATGTTCTAGCAATAGCTTCTGAAAAATTTAGGTACCATTGCTAAATATTATTTATTGCATGATCTAACACGTGATTGATCTTATATAGATAGGCGCTTTAGAGAAACTTTCTTTTTAAAGTTCACAAACAATACAGATATATATTCTGTTTCTGTCATCTAAACTGATTAAGTAATTACATATGCAATATCACAACAGTTGCTAATCATTTATCTGTTTTAGTTAATTTTTTACACCTAGAAAATTTTAGCTATTATTGCAAGATCATTTTTTTGAGTGTAATATAACAAAAGCTATCCTTAAATATTAATTTGAATAGTAAAACAAAAAATGAAAGTACGATAGTACTTGTTGGCATTTTTTTATATAAATCAAAAAGCATGATTACGCTGCTTGGAATTTTTCGCACATATTTTTGCGACCACTTTCGACATTTAAAGTTAAAAGATTTAAATATGATAAAAAATGATCAGAGATGTAGTTTTTGTAAAAGTACCAAATATAATTGCTTTATACCCGACACATTCTTATTTTAGCCGGCGTAATCTTTACACAAGAAGCTACAGAACCCTTGGAAAATGTGGCAGAAGGTGACACTCGCCAATATGACGATGAACACACAGCCGAAAGGAAGATATACGTAAAAAATACACCGTCAAGTCCACCACCGTTTACGTCAAGTTTCCCGCCGTGGCGTCCGACCGACGAAACAATATATCAAACCGTACCGAACGCATTAGACGGAGTTCTGCGACTGGACAATCTCAATTGGAGCGACGATTTGAGCGATGTCAAGTCGCGAGTGTACAGACAAGTAAGCGACGAAATAAAGCAGCATCTAGAAAATATCCTTCAGCAGACAGACAACGCGTCTGTTGTCAAAGTGTATGATATCAATAAAGAAGGCGAAGTAAAATTCAGAATAAGCCATCCGCCGTTTAACACGCCTGGGGAAAGTCAAAAATCATCGAAGAGATATTGCAAAAGGAAGGTAACATGATCGG